AGAGACAGTGGAAGCAGGTTTAATCTAATCAGTCTGTCTTTATAGTTGATGTTGTTACATGACAGTATCCAACGTGTAGCTTTTCTTTGGACATCTTCAATAATTCTTAATTCACACTTATTTGCTTTCCATATGGGTGAGCCATATGACACAATTGGGGTTACATATCCACAGTAGGAGTTCAGTTTCATTTTTAAGCTCGCTGATTTTGAAATATTTCTTTTAATTAAAAATAAGCAGCCTATTGCTTTTTGGGCTCTTATTTTTGCTTGTGCTGACCAGTTCAGGTTGTTGGTTATTTGTAATCCAAGGTCTTTTTCTGAACAGGTTTTTTCAAGTATATGGTCACCGAGATACATGTTTAGGTCAAGTTGGGGGTCTTTGAATATTATATTGTGACATTTTTTCAAATTAAGACTCATGGAATTATCTTTGCACCATAAGTTGATCGTGATTAGGTCATGTTGAAGCAGGGAAGGGTTCGTTGCAACAATTTTATAATCGTCTGCGTAACCATAGCACGAGTTGGTTAGTGATGACGGTAAATAGTTGATGAATGTAATGAAGAATACTGGCCCTAACAGTGAGCCTTGAGGTACGCCGCAACTAACTTCAAGATGGCTGGATACTGCCGCACCTATTCGTACTTGCTGTTTTCTGTTGGTTAAGTAGTTTGCTAATAGTTTAAGTGCGTTTCCTGATATGCCAAATTTATTGAGTTTATGTATGCACAAGTCGTGAGGAACTTTGTCGAAAGCCTTTTCGAAGTCTAAGTATATTGCCTGTAGAGACTTGATATTAGGGTTATCAAAGTCATCATAGATTTTGTCGAGGAATTGGAGCATTTGCAGAGTTGTCGATCGTTTAGGACAGAAGCCAAATTGGGAGATTTTTGGTGAGATTTTAAGGAAGATCAGTTTCTCTAAGACTTTGGATACTGCAGTTAGCAGGCTGATGGGCCTGTAGTTTGTGACCGATTGCTTGTCTCCATTTTTAAAAGTTGGGATGATTTGGCTAAGTTTCAGATCGTTGGAAATGTTGTTTTGTTGGTGATGGCGTAATAAATCAGTTTTAGAGATGAAGTTATGATATCTGCTAAATTGGTTAGGACTGTGTTACCGAGTCTATCTGGTCCTCTTGCTTTTTGGAGGTTTAATGTTTTAAGGATGTCATATATCTAATTTTCAGAGAAATTGAAGCATTTGATTGAGCCAGGTAATTCAGCTATTGGTAAAATGTTTTCATTCTGTTTAATGTTAAAAACGCTTACGAAGTAATTGTTTAGAAGATTAGCTTTACCGTGCTCTGTTGATTCGGTTTTTTCATTCCAGTGCATTGTTTTTGGAGTACTTGAGTTTTTTCGTATGCTTTTAAAGTATTTTTAGAGCTTTGAGAAATTTCTGCCCTTGAAAGTTGATTCTTCGAAATTTTTCTGATCTAATTCGGATAAATGATCTACAAGGTTTTTAAGTCTTTCAAGATTGCGGTTATTAGTATGAGTAATTTTAAAGGCTACTTTTTTTGATGTTGTCTTGTGTCTTTTGATAATATTGGAGGTTTCAGGTGTGATCCAAGGTGCTAGGTTCATACGGTGTTTGGTCTGTTTTTTCATGTGTTTTTCTAGTGCTATATATAGCCAGAGGTACCATGAGTTGATTAAGTGGTCAATGTTAGAGTAGCACTACGGTTGAAAAGGGTGTTCCAAAATTTATTTGTTTAAAGTAATCCAATCGACGTTGTTTAATGAGAAGACACCAAAGTCCAGAAAGTCGGATCCGTGTTGTATGGGAGTGGCTTTTTCTTCATTGTGTGTAAGAGATGATATCGTGATTAGAAAAGGGTTGTGGTCTGATAATTCTCTTTCTTGGTGTGAGAAGTGTTTTTTCATATGGTTGTCTATTGTGGTGTTTAAAATAATGTCGGGGTTGTTGCAAAGGACAATATCTAATTGGTCATGAGGGGGTTCAATAAACTGTTGAAAGTTCATATCAGTAAAAGTCTGCAGTACTAATTGTTCGTGTTTTTGGGTTGATTGCAAGGTTTGCCAATGCGTATTAGCGAAGTTGATGTCACCAACCAATAAAATATTTGGGCATTGAAATTCATTTGAGTAGTCAGTTAGCATATTCAATAGTTTGTTGAAGTCATCTGTGGATAGCTTATATTTGCTTTCGTTCGGGGCACTGTAGATACAGCATAGGATGAGAGGTGTCGGAGTGTTAAGGAGGAGTCCAACGCAGTCCGTAGTGTGTATTTCATGTTTTGTGAAAGCTAGGGATTGCTTTACAGCAATAAGCACGCCCCCGTGTTTCGATTTTGTTGAGTTGGTAGGTCTATCACATCTAGTTATTATGTGTGCAGGCAGAAAAAGCGCGTTGTCAGGGATATTTTCAGTTAACCAAGTTTCGCTTAAGCAAATGATGTCATAATCGTTCGATAGTATTATTTTGCTAAGTTTCATACGTCTATTTATATCCAGTATACTTCGTGTATTGAATGACATAACATTCAGCGATTCTAGTCAGTTGTCATTTCTAGTCTGAATTGTGCTGTTTTCCTCCGGTTTAATTGTAACTTTTGTCCAGGTGTCGTCAACTTTTTCATGCAGTTCTAGGTTTCTGATTCGAAGATTTTTGGGGTTTTTACCACTGCTGATGAGATTTCTACGTTCTCTCAGGATGGCGTTTTCCAGTTTCATTTCTTCGACTGAGAGTTCCTTACTTATGAAGACATTTTTGTCATAATTTTTGAGGGCCGGTGTTGATGATAGTATCAAGTCTATTTCTCTTGGACAGGTTACTCGTACCAGTATAGTTTTGTGGTTTGCTCGTTCTTCGCTGAACATTCCCAAATGCTTGAGATCAGTGATATTGCATTCGAGGTTTAAGAATTTCATGATTTTATTTACCTCATCATAGTCATGGTCAAGTCTTTTTCTTCCATCTCTTTCCTTGATCTCGGGGACCCCTCTTATTCTCAATCCTTTGCTCAGGGGTTTGATAATGTTTTGCGCCGCTACTTGTAATCAGGGTTTACCCTGTTCTGCTGTTGGCAGGCTTTGGATGGGATCTTTAATATTTTCCATTTTTGTCGAGACTTCGGCTACTACTTTACTTAACTTTGAAATTTCTTCTTCAATTTTTTTGATGTTTTCACTTTTGACATGTGATGCTGTGCTTCTGATTACTTGATCTCTTTTTCCGTTGGACAAACAGGTATTGCATATCAGTAGTGCGTTGTTACCAAGTTCCAGTATTCCATTGAGTGCAACGGTCGAGAGGCCAGTGCAGACAACTTCAAGGTGCATAGAGCAATTACAGGTGATGCATTTGTATATTGGGTCATTTTCGTTTATTGGTTTCTTGCAAGTTTTGCAAGGTTTTTTGTCCTTTGACATTCTCAGTTTTATTTATGTTTACGTCCTCTTATCTCTGTGGAAACTGTGTTTGGGGGATGAAGGTTTAGGTAGTGTACTCGAGTCCTCAGGGTGGTACCGAAAGGGCGCCGATTGAGGACTGAAGTATCAGTGTTAGGGTTATGAAAACAGTTGTGTGGGACCTTAAGGGTACTTGATGACTAGCGGGAGAAAACGGTTTTATTTTATAGATGTGAATTCACAAAGACATCAAATCTGGCGATACCTAAAGGGTATCAATAGAAAATTCAGTCTCTGTGAAAATGATGACACCGACAAATGTTGTTGCCGCAGTGGTATATATTCGAGTAGCCCTCGCTATCAGTTTTTACACAGAACTTCTTGTAGATGATCTTCTTTTTCAAAATCGTTTGGAGACTCGCAAGCGATGCTGTTGTTAAATGCACTTCGTCGGAAGATAGAACAGTTTTGGTGGTTATTCCTTTCGATATACCGCGATATCGCCAGAGTTCTTTCTTTTTGCGAAGAATATCGTTTACACGTTCCGTTCGGGCTGGTCTTCCGAGTCTGGGTGGTAGAGCGATAATGAAAACTTTATTGCAACGTTCTGTCAACCGTAGGCCAAGTTGGGATAATTCTTCAGCAACGTCTTCGGGTGTTCTCGTTGAGTCTTTTTTGTCTTTCGTAAACAGATCGTTCGCACCGATGAATAGAGCTATAATATCGTATTCGTTCTTGCGGGGCAAGAAGTTTAGAACATCCGCGCTACCTGCACCAGGAAGGCTGAGGATATTGAAATTTGGGAAAGTTAGATTCTTCAATTGTGAGTTTCCGATCAACAAGTGTTGCGACGACGATTTCTTGAATATGTGAAATCTCGTTGGTTTTCACCCATCCACGGCTAGGAACGGACGGGACTTTTTTTTCGTTTCGAATAAGGTGTTCTTGTTCCTAGCTACAACTTTTCTGAAAACACACAGTTTGAACGAGGGAAGAGGAATCTATTTAATAATTTTATCTATTTAATTATATAGTAATTAGGTTGTAGCCCCGTTTTTAGGAGTGACCTCGTGGTCTGGGGATACTGAGACCCAGTCATGAGCTCACTATTTTTGCATGCAACTAAGTTAATTTTCGCGGTTTGGCCAAAGCCTTAAATTAAAATGACTTTGTCGACCAGATGTTAATGAACCAAACGTTAAACTGGCTTTGGAAGAGACGGTTAAAAGCATGTGAACCTGTGTTTATAATTGCAAAAGAAATTCATCTGCCGAAAGTGACGTAATGAGCATTCCAAGAACGAGCGTGAGAAATGGCGAAAAAAAATGTGATAGATTTCTAGTTTCGACAAAGGAATCTTAAGATTTCCAGTGGAATAAAAACTTCAACTATTGATCCAGTTTTCTCAATTTGGGTTCATGTTATCAAAAAAGGGCCAGTCATAAATTGTTCTAGAAATTCAAAGAGGCATCTATTTTTTTTTGAAATTCGAATTTTTTCCTAGAAAGTCATTGTTTTTTATGTTTACTTGCGTTCATTACTCTTTTCCAATATTCGATTGGCTTTGTTTATCTATGGTTGTTAATAGTACCTTCTGATAGTACCTTCGACCATTTGATTATACCTGGAAAAATCTTCTATTTGCTTCAATAGTTTCTGTAGCAAGTGACTTCACCCTTGTTCGAGATACTAGGCTAGAACCAGGCTCGTTAAACGCGATATGCCCGTCTGCTCCGATTCCTCCAACAAACAAGTCAATGCCACCTGCATCTCTAATCCTCTTTTCATACTGTTCGCATTCAAGCTCGAGGTCGTCGGCGTTTCCATCTAGTATGTTGACGTTGTTGGGATCTATGTCAATGTGTTTGAATAAGTTCTCGAACATAAAGGTGTGGTAGCTCTCGGCATGGTTCATGGGCAGGCCGACGTATTCGTCCATGTTGAAAGTTCTAACATGTTTGAAGCTAAGAGAGCCTAAAAAGTCTACAGTTTACTCATGATGAAAGGCAACAGTATGTCCCATTATCGATACTCTCAATCTCTAACAAAAAATCTCATCAAAAAGATTTCAACATGTTCTTATTAATTTCCTTGAGCTTCAAGTTTTTGTATTAATTAACGTCATGTGTGTTTTAGCGGGCGTTTTCATTAGAGATTGCTGAGCGATTTTTAGTTGTTGCTGTTATTTGCGCGTAGCAAGCGCGTCAAGAAAGCTAGATATGAGCTTCAGGAACTTCGCTGCTTCAGCCGGCCAGAGCCACAGTTCTATTGGAGTGAACTCAGTCTGGTTTTTGGGGAATTTAAAAAATTAAAAAGGTGAAGATTAGCGTGGAGAGCAGGAGTCGCAAAATTTCCGGGGACATTGGGGTCAATTCTATTGCGGCAAGTGTCTAAAAACGGGCTGTAGCCAGATCTTGCAGCTCTAAAGTGCTTAGTGTTGATCGAGGGAACATTTTCTTAGCCAAGGAAATTTCAGGAGGGAGCAGTGGGAGCATTTTGGATGGCCTTAGTTACGTGTTTTGTATGGATTGAATTTAGGAGTTGTTTATTAGTAGTGTATTAGTACGGACTTTCTTTTTTTCCAACCTAACTCGCAAATATAAGTGTTACTTATTTGGTGGCACTTTTGCTATAATCTCGATCTGTAGCATAAATTTTTTAGCGTCTGCTGTCTGCTTTATTTGTGGCTTACCAAGTGTCCGTGGCTGAGTGGTCAAAAACAAGAGACTCAAAATCTCTAGGTCGAAGATGGAACTCGAGACTAAGCAGAATTTTTACTATTTCGAGGCTTATTTCTACTTTTTCTTAGTGCACTTAATTGAGCTGCTTTTTTGTCGTGTTCTCGCTAGTGTTACTAGTGTTATCATTAAAAGAGTTGAACTCGTTGCTCCCGGCAATTGTTTTAGGGTAAGGAAACCTACGGCAAAATGCAGGGGCCGGGAGTCGAAGTACGATTTCAAGTAAAATTGGCAGCGTAGGAGATTATGGTTGGTCAATTAATTAGATTATGCTAAGTCAATTGAGCCTTTGTTGGTCAAGAAATTTGTCATATCAAACTGCGCTTTGAGGAATACCTTTTTTTCTCACGTACCTTCTTTGCAGAACTGCACAAGGTTCTTGTACATGTGCAATGGAGTGCTTCCAGTTGGCAATCCGAGGTTGAACGTCTTCCCTGCCGCACTCCTCGCCTCGTCCCAGTTGTCCTCCAGGAAACTGTTGATTCTGTTGCGCACGTACTTAGCTGCCCACAGTCCCACGGCTGCAGAGTCCTCTTTGATGATCAGACGCATTGTTCCTCTCTCGTACACAGTCAAAGGGGTCAATTATATACGGGAACTTTTTATTACCCTTGCGAAAAGGTCGGTCTCAAATCAGTCAGCTCATTTTTCCAATGTTTTTTCTATTTGTTCTTTGATAGTATACGACATCGGTTGAACTCTGAGTTTAATTTACATTTCTCGTAATTTTTCAAGTTCGACTGTTCTCGTATAATATCATTAGATTACGATAAGTCAAAAATTAGTCAATTGAGCAATTGTTGGTTAAAAAATTCGTCATATTTAAATTGCGACATATTAGATAACATGAGGAAAACGTGCTGACAGAATTGAGGCCGACCTTCGTTAAAAATGGAAAAAAAAATAAACATTGAAAAATTAATTTAAATATTTTTGTTTTGTCTTTTTAGGCGGTTTCACAACTTTCGTCGAAATGTTTATTTTATTTTTGGTTGACGGCTGTCTTAATTATTATATTCTTTCTGGTGCAGGTAAATCAGCTCATGAGTTTTTTGTATTACAGATTTTCTATATTAAGTTTTTCGTCAAGCACTGATTTTTCATTGCTTTCTACCTGTCTGGGGTTTAACGAACTTATAGTACTATCTCGTACGAAAAAAAATTCTGCTCAAAATTCTAATAGAATGAATTGTTTTGTAATGTCAACTTGAGTTGGTTTCTGCAAGAATTAACTTGATAAATTCCTGTGATTCTGCATACTTTAGAGTTCTTAAACCATTATAGATGTATTATTTATTATTCTTTTTTATTCGATTTTTTGAGCAATCAAAAATAAGTTTCCAGATTTTTATTTGTTTTAGTTTTTTTATTTGTATTTTTTTAGTTTTTGAGGAAATGTAAAATTTTTAATTTGAGTCGGTTTTAGTTTTTTCACTTGAAATGGATTATCTGGATTAATTTGCCGTAACTCCTGTCGAATGAAATAAATTTTGTTCAGTTATTTAACCTGAAAAATCATCAGAAAGCAGTGGTTTTTGTATCTTTTCATCATTAAAATGCAGTGTTCAAATGGTTTCATTGCTTATCTCAGCAATTTGATGTAAGCAACCAAGTTTAAAGTTTCAGTTTTTTTTTCAGACTGAAGTTGATGCCTGTATGTTTTTGCTGAAGTTGATGCCTGTAAGACCCATTGACAAAATTTTTTATTAGCCGATCAGCCTCGATTTTCAGCATTGGCGTCCGTCTTTGACTGACCAATGTACTATATTTGAGTGCGCGCCCGCCCAAAAACTGCGGTTTTGGTCCGAATTGTTGAATAAATGCTTAATAGCTGCTTTTTAAATATTGTTTGACAATATAATTATTGCTTGACAGTTTTTCATGCATAAAAATTGGTTTATCTTTGAAGGTCTACTATTACGAGGATCCTAGATACCTTGCTGCTTTATTACTTAATGATTTTTTAAATTTAGAGATGAAAGTAAGCAAATTGAGTACAAAATCAAGTCGGAACAATATGCGTAGATCATAATTGACACCTGTTGTCTTAAGAATTTAGAAGCAAGATATATGAAATAATTATAATATCGTAATCAAAAACCGAGTTAGCTATTAAGAAGCGACTCTATGGTGTCTGATTGTATCTGATGTTTGTACTGCAAATTCCTCCCTTTTTCGATTTAAAGATGTATCTGACCTCTGTTATCGTAGTTTATCTAGTCAAACAGAAACTGTAGCTTCTTCGCCAGAAAGAGTTGTAAAGATGGCGTTCAACAGTGCCGAAGTACAACAGTGCCGAAAATGAAAAAGTATTCAACAGTGCCAAAAATTGATGATTTTCGGCACTGTTGAACAATAAATTTATTTTCGGCACTCTTGTACTTCGGCACTGTTGAACGACCCTCTATGGACAGCACAACAGCGCCGAAGTATAACGGTGCCGAAAATAATTTTATTGTTCAACAGTGCCGAAAATCATCAATTGAGCACTTTTTCATTTTCGGCACTGTTCTACTTCGGACTGTTGTACTGCTCCGTTGAAAAGGTAGAGAACAAGAGGGTCGATTTGAAAGCTAGCAAATATCCTTCATTTAGTGAAAGAGTTAAATTGTGCATAGTTTTACTTCAAACTCACTTGAAACCAGGTAACGTAATTTTCGGCTCATCCGAAGGACCGAAATGCAGAAAAGTGCCGAAAGATAGTATACTAGTTCGAGTCGAAAACGGAAGATTCCTAAAATTGGGAAATGAAAACGCTAAGATGGACCCTTTCAGTTTCAAGTAAAATTTACATTGATTCAGCTAATTTTCTTTTATCTAATTTCTTTTATGTTCAACTAGCTATAAATATGCTTTTATGGCTGCCTTGAAATCTAGACTAGTTTTTTGTTGTTTTTCAGGCGAGATTTTTTGTCCTACATCAATATATTTTGGAATTTCCCCTCAGTTTAGAGAACTTTAACCAAACTGATGTTCAAAAAAATTGGTTCAATCAGCGGAAAACTGATGATTGCCGAAAAACATTTTTTTGTAGACAAAAAAGTAATTTATTCGCCAAAATCGGCGCCGAAATTAAGCAAAATTATTCCGAAAATTACGATTCCTGCTTGAAACTAAACCTCCGAAGTTAATTTTTTGCAGTGCTTTTTAAGCCGTCTGTTAATGTTCTATGTTCTAAGAACTTGGTTGCATAGTTAAATCAAGCTCATTGTTTTCAAATTCATAAACATGGTTGCAAGTTGTTGCATGCTGAAAAATGTAATGTGTAATTGATATAGGTGTGCCTAGATACAAGAAGATCAGAGTTTTATTCTACGTATTTGAGTTTCAGAAAATATGAAAGATAAGAGTTTCAGAAAATATGAAAGATAATTGGACAAAATTACCAAATTCTTCTGCCGAAACTGCCAATGAAGTTGATAAATTGGTGGTTTCCAAATCTCAACTTTTGTTTCTGATTCTGGACGTGCATCCTTACTGGTGGGGCAGATTATCTCTTCTGAAACAAATTAAAATCTCCTTTGAAAATTTTATCCATCAAATTACAATATTTTGCAATTCATTTCTCACTTTATCTCCTACAAACAGTTTATGCGTAGCTGGCTTTCATGTGAAAGATGCACTTTTATTTCGAAGTAAATCGACAGACTCCTCCGATCAGCAATACGAAGGCCATGATTTTTGTCAAAATTTTTCATCAAATCTGTCCGAATTTATGGCCCAAATTCAAGAAAACGACCAAATTTTAGTAGACAAAAAGTCAAGCGAGACTTCAGGTTTTATACCCGCTATGATCAAGTGTCTATGCATTGCAAATAAAAGTCTAAAACCGGACCCAAATGTCGATGTTCGGTTTTTAATAATAAAACTGTCGCCAATACTATCTGCAGAATATTTGCCTCTCATGAACTGTCTTTTTGCCTGTCAGAAACAAAAATACGTTGTTGATGTGTTCTCAATGTGTTTCAACACAACTTCGCTGCAACAAATGTCTTCGTTATCCAACGGAATTTTCCTTAAATGCCCAGAAGACTCAACGAAAATTCTCAGCTCGCTGTTGTTGCATTTTTTGATGCCAAGTGATTTCCGACAGGGCAAATTACGCAATCCAGGTAGTGCTTTGCTGGACTATAAGGCGTCTTGTTTTTGTCACAGGAAGTTAGTTGATATTGGGTGGGTATGTTCTGTGTGTTTATCTGTTTTCTGTGCTTTCACTCCAGTCTGTATTACATGCTCATCAATGTTCAAATTGCCAAATGCTTCAGTTTCGAGCAGGAAAAGAAAACCACAAGTGGCGAATGGAGTTTGAGAGAACATAACTACAAACGCGTGAAAAAATGAATAGTTTCGAATTAGTCGTTCAAATTGAACTATTTTTTCGATAGGTGTTCTGATGAAAATTTTAGTTTGTTCATTGAGGTCTAAAATTGCTACGAATTCATTGACTGAAATCTAAATTTTACTGAAGGGTTAGGCTAGCAGCTAGCTTGCAATTATCGTTACCCTTGCGATAAGCAAGGGTATTGCAATCGTGTGCTAGGTTTTTCCCCGCCAATAACTTTGTTCACAGGACTCCTCTGGAATCATATATAGTGGTGCCTTGTTTCATAATTTTTTCTAATTTCGTAGCCTTCCAGGCCCACATAGCCTGGAGGTAACAAATGCGCTTGGGACTGCAAAGGTCCTGTGTTCGAAGCTGACCAGGACTTGTTTTTTTTCAAACGGGATATTTTCTGTTTCAAGTAAAATTGTCGGCCAATTATTTGCTTATCCTCTGTCAGCTTAGTTGCCATATCTTCGTTTTTAGTTGCGGCCAATTATTTGTCTGCTTATCTGTTGTCTGCTTAGTTGCCACATCTTCGAATCGTTTTTTTGCTGCGCGAATTTTTTTTAATGTTGCTTTTAGTGTGTGATTTACTCCTACAATCTCTAATTTCACTTACTTTGACTTACCGTATTTCCTTTTTTTGTTTTGTTTCGCTCAAATTATTTCGGCCTTTTATTTATCGGCTTATTGACTTAATTTTTGGTAGTTTCAAGGGAAACACAATTTTTACGCTCCCCTCCGCACTTTTTCAATAGGTTGTATTTGTGTCACTCGGTTTATTGACATTTCAGTTAAGGGTTTCGGCTTGTTTTACAATAGATTTAGGCTTGTTTTATATCGGCTTAGTATCCTCTTTTTGCGTCGTGCTTTGCGTGAAAAAGTTTTTGATGTGCCTGTGTTTGTTATGAGAGGAAGGGTAACGTAAAAATTTTTCTAATTAATTTTGAGTTGAAAAAAAATTGGCTGGAAGAGTTTCCACTCAGGTATTTTTGGCTTTGTCGCCGCTTGGTTGATTTTGTTCCGATGCTGATTTTGCATTATTTTGTTTGGGCATATATTTTTCCCAAATATCTTCATTCAGTTTGATAGATCTAGTTGTATCGCAAGTGGCGCGAAGCTCAGCTTCGTCTGTGTTCAGTTTGCTATAGGCAACACTGAAATCTTAATCTTTTAAGATAAGATTGTAAACCACTCTAAAGTAGTCAAGATCAGAAATGGTCAATAAGTTTCCTTACCAAGTTTTGAACCCTTTTTTCCAGTAAACAAGTTTTTTTTAAATATTTTTAAGACCGATAATGGACGATGCTGAAATTCAATCAAATCCTTTGGGTTTGTCTGAATTCGAAATGGATGATGAAGGTTGGCCTACTGACGAGGAGCTGGAAACTAGCTTTGAAATTCTCTCAAAAATGCCAAAAAAGAAATTGACGACCGATGATTTTGAAGTCGGCGCTCCTTTAGGGAGAGGAAAGTTCGGCCATGTGTACTTATGCCGTGAGGTGGTTTCAAAAGTGCCGGTAGCCGTGAAAGTTCTATTCAAATCCCAGTTGATGAGGTATGGAATGGAAAACCAACTCAGACGCGAAATTGAGATCCAAAAAAAGTTGAGCCATCCAAATATTCTTGAAATGTACACGTTTTTCTTCGATGATAAAAGAATTTATTTGGTGCTCGAGTTCTGCACGATTGGAGAGCTTTACAAAGAACTGAACAAAAGAGGACAGTTCAATGCGAAGGATACATGTACTGTTATTGGGCAAATAGCAGACGCACTTGATTACTGTCATCGAAATGACGTCATTCACAGGGACTTAAAACCAGAGAATATTCTTCTCGATGAGCACGAAGAAGGAAAAGGGTATTATGCGAAGTTGGCGGATTTTGGTTGGTCCATCCACTCCAAAAGTCACAGATCCACGTTGTGTGGAACCAAAGATTATTTACCCCCTGAACTGATTCACAAGAAAAAATATGACCACAAAGTTGACAATTGGTGTGTTGGCGTTTTGTGCTACGAGCTGATGTTCGGAGACACTCCGTTTCATCAAGCGAGTGACTCAGAGACAATGAGTAACATCACAAATGTTCAATATACCTTCCCTGCTCACTTCGAGAGTGGCGCGAAACATTTGATCGGAAGTCTGTTGAAGTTCAATCCTAGCGAGAGACTTGATTTGGAAAAAGTAGTGTGCCATCCATGGATAAAAAGTAATGCTAGCAACCTCCCGGATGGAAGTTGGAGGTTAAAGTAAAAACAAGCTAATATCAAAACTCCCGGAATCGCTTAAGCCGGCTAAAACTTTGGAGTGTATGAACATTTTAACTTTTTTGTGACTGTTGTGATTGATTTTGAAGTTGTTTTGGGGCATAATTGGGTTTGTAATTACATATGCTTTGTACAGTTTTGATTTTAGCATTTAGTATTTTAAAAATTGAGAGTTGTCTGGAATTTCACAGCTGTTTTGAGAATCTTCTTATCATATCTGTTCGTGAATTCGTTTTTAATCTTTTTGTAGAAAACCATGAAGGCTGGCACGAAAATTACCTGGAGCAGAAAAACAATATAATTGAGATCACCAGGGCTGGATTAAAGTTTTTTCGAATAGTTGGGTTTGATGCTTGATGTTTTTCTGAATGAGAATTAAAGTCATTTCTTTCATTTGGGCTTTTTTCGTTTTCCTTCTTTTTTCCAACCTAAGTTAAGTCGCAAATATTGGTGTCAGTTATGGAGAACCTTTACAGCTTTTTATAGCATGTGCTTTGACATTCGAATAGTAATAAGTTAGCACAGTTGATGCATTCTAGTTAATCAAATGAACCGAAAAAATGATTTGTTTCAAACAACATAGCCTAAGTAAAAACTCGATTTCAGAAATTTTATAAGCTAATATATATCGCAATTTTTGAAATGCATAATTTGTACACAATATGGTTTTATGCTTTGCGATTTTGTTACATGCAAAGTTAGTGTGGATGCCTTCAAATTGTTATATTCCAAATTATTACCTGCAAAGTTGAGTCTATTTGTATTTGGTGCCACTTTTGCTGAATCGCGTTGGCAATTTATCAGCATATGTAGCTGCTTTATTTGTGACTAGTGTTTTTCTGTTGTTAAGCTTGCGTGGCTGAGTGCATAGTGCGTGAGACTAAAATTCTCTTGATTGCAGTTGGTCGCAGATTCGAATTCTAAACGTAGACGAATTTTTACTAATTCGAGTATTTATACTTTTTATTATTTCACTTGATAGAGCTGCTTATTGGTCGTGTTCTCACAAGTGGTTGCGAAGCGCAGCTTCGCCTCTGTAAAATTGGTGTTATAGCATTTTGTATAAAACTCACCAAATGAAGCAAAAACATTTCTCGGCATAGTTTTGCAGAAATGTTTCCTTTTAAATTATTAATAATCAAAGTAATTTTCCAGATAGGGTGCTTTTCCATCTGTAAATTCAAGTGGCGAGCTTAAATTCGTCGCAAAACAAAATAGAAATGGATTTGAAAATGGCATTTGATTTTTAGTTCAAAAGTAGTTAATTTAGCTCGTTTAAGTTATTATTGACCCGTTTCTCTCAACTCGTGTCCGTTAGTCATCAATGGAGTTTCAATGCAAGTAGAACAGAATGTTTCGATCAAATTAAGTTGAAAAAAATTGAAACTTCAAGAAAAACTTTCAAAACAATCCAATAAAAAATGTAGTTAACTTTTTCAAATCATTTTTTTTTCCAAAACTCCTTTTCATATATTTTTGTTTAGGTCTGATAACTAAGGTGATTGAATACTAGACTGAATGATAATAACAGCTGTATAAACGTTTAAATTGAAAAAATACATACGTTTGTCTAATTGAATCTGAAACTCGAAAATATTCAGACCAATTTCAACCGACGCCGAGAGAATAATTTTTGAGGCTTGAATATGGTGATGCACTTGAATATCTAGAATATTTCCTTGAGGTAGTCGAAATTGGCTACAACATTGCACCCTATGCCAAAGTTCTTTCCCAGTCTTCGAGAATGGTCGGAACGATAAACTTGGAAATAGTCTTGATTTAAGTTACAAAGTGATTAATATAGTTCTTAGGATTACATGTTGATACTGTGTTTTATAAAAGGTTAGTTATTTATTTTTAACCAGTACAAATCAGTAGGTATCAAACTATAATGAAACTGAACGAAATCTATGGTGATACATTTTGCAGTTACAGCTAATAAAAAAAAACAATTTAAATCATCACAAACATTAATATTCTGAAGTCTTATAAACAAAATGATTTTCTACTGAAGCTATTTAGTTGTTTCTTGTCTGCCCATACATTTTCAAGCTGAGAGGTTAAAGTTATTCAGAAAAAAAAATTCAGCGAAGCAAAACACTTTAAACGTTTTTTTTTTTTAAATCGAAGTTGGTTGATACAGTTTTTACCCTGGCGATAAGCAAGTGTAGTGCAGTCGGGTGCTAGACTTTTTTCCCACAAACAAACTTTGTTCACAGAATTATCTCCAATTTCAAGATCTCCTTGTTCAGCACGTTGCACGTTTAACACCGAGTTATTTTGCCTAAAGTTAATGCGTAACTGGATCTACTCGTAAAAAAAATTCAGATAGAAATTGTTTTTTTTTTGTAAGCTTAATTGATTGCGTCCCAATTTTTGTCGGCTTACTTGCCGGAGTTTTTTTGAATTTTTTTTCAATTATTTATTAAATTCAATTCGAAGAAAGTAGCAATGAAAGACTTTTTTATACACGTTTTTAAACACGCTTTTTGAACACATGTTTGTATGATTTTTTTTCGAATGCATGGTTTTTGAAAATAACTTTAAACTCAGCCAACCATATGGCGCATAGGTCGTAGAGATAGCCCACTTGCTTGAGACGGTAAAGGCCTGTAGTTTGAATTCGACCGAGACCTGTTTTTTGCAAACTTGATTTTTTGTGCTAATTTGGGCTATCGTCCGTCTGCCTATTAATGTCGGCTTGATTCCCTGCAGCCCAATTTTTTGTTGTTGATTTTACACCCATGCTTAGGACGACAGAGCCCAGGTGTTAGATTCCAGTTGGGACCTGTTTCTTTGCAAATTGAATACTTTCGGCTATTTTGTGTCTGCTTAGTTTTGCTGAATTAGTTCTCACAAAGGATATTTTGAAAGTTTGACTTCCTAGCATACGGAAAGCTCTTTGTTAAATTTATAATGATGCAGGGAATTTTTTCCGGATGTTTCGGGCTTTTTTGCAGAGTTTTTTCGACAAAAACAATTTTTTCAAGTTTTTTCATTTTTTTTCCATTTGATTTCAATCATAGACATTCATTTTTAATCGCAATTGGTGCGAAGCTCAGCTTCGCCTCTGTATTAAAGTTTCACACTGACTCCATACTTCGAGCATTCACTGGGTTCAATCCCTGGGGGACGTCCGCTACTAAACCCAACCCTAAGTTAGTTTACAGCTGTAATAGCAACTACAACATCATACAGCTCATCGGATACGTGATGATTCAAATTTAAAAAAATGTAACTGACCAGATTTTCTCAAAAAAAAAGTCAAATCATCAACTCAGAATGTTATTCAATAAACTGTTTAATGTTGTTATTTGTTATTAAAGCTGAACGCTCAAAGATCCGCTTTTGATACTGTTTCACAACATTTTTTTGTGCTTGACCAACCCTAAAGGTTATTACAATCAGGTACTAGCGTTTTTTCCCGTGAACAAGCATTTTGTAGGAATAGTAAATTTCAATACATGATCAATTTAGCTAGTAGATAGGTGCAGTCCGTTTCCGGGGTTATTATTGTTTTCAAATTGTTTTCTAAAAAAAAACCTGTTAAATCTTAATTTTTTTCGTGTTCGTCGTTTTCAGCCGAGTTTCTGTCGGTTCAATATCTTTTTTTTTGTTTAAATTGAATTTAATTATCTGGTACTGTTTGTTATCGGCTTATTTTGAAAGAACAAACTTTTTTATTTTAGAGATTCGTTCATTATAATAACTTCAAATTCAATCAATTATCCAGCGCATCCGGGGTAGATGTAATAAATACGATTGAGACGACAAAAGCTTGTGGTTCGAATCCAGTCTGAACTTGTTTTTTTTTTAACAAAAAAGTTTCTGCTTTTTCGGGCAATAGTCCGTTTTTTTTATTTTTTTACGTAGTTTCCGTTGCACGGACATTCTTAGACTCATGAACATTCAGCTTTCATCTAATTTTCTAAAGGACATTAGTGGAATTAATTTGAATTAATTTGTTGCATTTTTAGATACATTTTGAATCAAAATTTCAATGAACTGTTTTTGGCTTATGTTTTATAGCAGAACCATTTTATGTTGCGTAGTTTGAATCAAAATTTCAATGAACTGTTTTTGGCTTATGTTTTATCGCAGAACCATTTTATGTTGCGTAGTTTGAAAATTTTTCTGAGTTGCTTTGGCAAATTTTTCAGTTTCCGATGAAATTTGTGGTTTTTCTCGACAACGTCCTCCCTGATTTTTAAAAGATGGCACCCATTAGAGGCCAGTTATTGCATTGTAAGTTTGGATTCTTCATAGTCTCTTCTAATCTTAGTCCACCTTCAAAGGCCTTCGAATTTTAACGTGTCAAAGGTTTGACTCAATTTCTCGGATTTTTTTCTCAGTGACTACCGTGTCAAATCTGAGATTGGGATTTCAATGGCAAGAACAGCCGTGGGAAGCTCTTTTACATACGCTGCTACGTCCTAATTTTATCAGAAAAAAGTTTTGGCCTCAAAAAGGTCATTTTTTGACATTTTGGTCTGTTTTTTGAATTTCTGGCTTATCTTGAACTAAGGGTTCAATCGAAAATCAGATTGTGGAAATCCTCCTGGCGTAAGCGGCTACGCTCCTAAATTTTTATGAAAACAAATGGTTTCGACAATCATCCCTGCATTAGAAAATTTGCGCCATTTTTTGTAATTAAAAACTAATTGCCTAAGGAAAAGTTTTTTTTTACAGTTTTGACCGTGTTTTCGGAGGTTTTTGACTAATTGGAATTTTTTGACCTTTTGAAAAATAACCTTTTCAATTTTAATATTAATGCTTCAATTGGAATAACAAATGTCTGATATCTCTGCTGGATATGTGGGGACACCCTTCTAAAACAAAGCTAGAGCCTTCGAAATTAAATTTCTTATTTTTAGGACTGTTTTTCGGAAATCTTCCCTGACAAATCTGAGATTAAGATTTCAGCCGAAGAAATAGGTGGCGAGAATTTTGGATTTTTTTCGACTAGTGGTTTTCTGTTTTGCCATCGAGAGAAATGTAGATCCTCCATTGATGAAAATGAGATTATTTGTTTAGCTTGTTCTTTCAGAAAAACAGTAAGCAAAAGAAGAGTAAGCAAAAATAATTCAGCTTTCGCATGGAAAATTTGTGAACTTTTAAAGAATTATTGTTTAACTGTTTAGTTAAACTATTTTGATACCTTGTTTCGCATGATTTCCACGACCATTTTTCCAGCTGTGGTATG